GTATTCCCCAAAGAGACAAATGTCAGAAGGAAAGGACCCAGAGGCACACAAATACTCGTAGTAGCCCTTAAAGAACTGGAACTAAGGGGATGCCCCTCCACTGGGGGACGAGAATCAGTGTGTTGTATGTAACAGTGAAAGGGAAGGATTCAGAAAAACTTTGGAAGATTTGTATGAACTGAGGCAGAGAGAAATGAGGAGAATGGGGAGAATGACAGAGTGATCACAGCAATGTATAGGAAAACCAGAGTGAAATGAGGAAGAACTCTGATGAAGCATGCCTCCCACCCCTGGGTGGGGAGCGAAGAGCCTGCAGGTGCAGTGGGCCACTTCCACCTCCAGACACACCCACTGCAACACAGATTTGTTTTTCCTGACTACACTTTCGTTACAAGGGAGGGAGGGAAGGTGGAGAGCAGAGGGCTAGTGAAAGTGATACAAAAAAGGGAGGAAAGAAAAGGGTGTCAAGGAGTCACTTCAAGAATACACAAGGGAGGGGACAGCTAGGTGGCACAGTGGATAGAGCACCGGCCCTGAAGTCAGGAGGACCTGAGTTCAAATCCGGCCTCAGACACTTAACACTTACTAGCTGTGTGACCCTGGGCAAGTCACATAACCCCAACTGCCCCCCCCCCAAAATACACAAGGGAGACCGGCTACTTGGAGAGACCAAGCTAGCACCACTGCCATGTTGGCTCTATCAAGTAACATTTAATATGGGGGGAAGATTCTGATTCAGAGTTCCATGCACAATCACCATTTTCCGGCCTTTGGAAATGTTTGTGCTTATTGGTAGTTTTCTAGAAGGGGAGGGAGAGGGAGAAGAAGAACGGCTGGGTTTGGCGCCAGAGGAGCCAAGTATGAGTCTCAGCCCACCAGCCACGAAGCTGCCCGTGAGGTACATCTCTGAACCTCATTTTCTTCATCTGCACACTGAGGACAGCAGGAGTGTTGTGACCAGAGCAGCCACGTGGCACTGTCCACGTGGAGGCCCCAGTCCTGCTTTGGGGGTCTCACCAGGGCCCTGTCCCCTGGCAGGATTGGCTTGGACCGCCCACCAGCAGCCACAGACAGCAAACCTGTCCTTCCTCTAAGGCCCGGCCTGGCTCAGTGTCCAGCCCCAGCACACAGGACCTTGGCTCCCGAGGCACAAAGGAGCTGCACTGGTCCTTCAGCCCCCTCCCAGCCCCAGCTCCATGGATGCTGAAGAGGCATCAGTACTGCAGAGTCAAAGGACCCCTCGCTGGTAAGCCAAGCTGGAGCTGCCCCGGTCTGTCCCCCAAGACGGCACGGCAGATGAACCCTCTGATTCCTGAAGGGAAAGATTTCCTGTTGGAAGAAGGCCAGGGTGGTGACAGAATCCAAGAAAAGTCCTTCAGTTATCGAGAAGCTTTTAAGGGCAGAACTATCCGATTCCCTCTTCCTTCTGTTCACCTAAAGTCCCAGCACTTCCCTCCACTCAAGGCCGCCCCCAATTCCTGGCTGGGCCATCAGTGAATGGCACCCTGAGCTCTCCCGGGCTCAGTCAGCCTAGCCCTGCTAGGAAGTCCCTGAAGGTGGCCCAGGCACAGGCAGAGTGTCTGCTGTCTAGCTACCAGCCCAGCGAGGTTTGGTCCCATCGAGGCAGATGACCTCTCATAGGCCATAGGCCGAGCTGGAGAGAGACAAAGTGACAAAGCGACAAAGTCATGGTTCCCTGGCTGCCGCCTCTCCCCCGGGACAGCCACAGACAGCTCCTGACTGATGTTTGCTGTATGAATGAAGGCAGGAGTGAGGCAGGCAGGGGAAGCCCTGGCATCCACGCTCCCCAGAAAGCATCTCCCCAGGGTGGAGTGCGAGAGGCGCCTCATTGGAGGAGGCTTTAGACAGACCAACTTCCCACACATAAGGCAGCCAAGGCTGCCTGCTGGAGGAAGCCGGAGATCAATCTCAGGGGCAGCCTGGGAGAGGAGACAGAGCGGCCCCCCGCGCCTTTCCATTTCAAACGGTTCCTGCCGAACCCTAGCTCCAGGCCGGCCAGGGAAGCCTGGCAGGGCAGGCTGCATCAAGGAGCCCCTGGGGAGACCAGACAACCCAAAACAGCCAGTCCCTGGGGAGGCTTCAGGGGAATTCAGGATGACAGCTTCACAGAGAATCAGTCGACAATACTCTGACCTCTCTGCTCCATCTGAAGAAAGCAAACTGCGGTGTCAGATCCCATTGGGGACGGCGCTAACAGCCTGAGCTCTGACATGTTCTGTCGTGCAAGGCGAAGCAAGGCTCCGAACAGCCCCACACAGACCCCAAGACGAGGGCAGAGGCGGCCAAGGTCTGAGATGCAGATGGAGAACTGAGGGCCTGGCAAGCAAGCGCCCCCATGGCGGAGCCAGGCTCTGGGAGCCCACACCAGGGGCGGGTGGCTTGCAGCACCCACGTCTGGAGGCCACATTGCAAGGGGTGGGGAGTGAGGGACTCCGCGCCAAGCCCAACACCCCCGGGCAATGTCAATGCTGATCCAGGCCCAACGAGAAGCAGGTGAGGGACCTGGGGAGGCTTCATCTGGAAGACTATGGGAAGGCATGACAGCTGTCTTCAGACATCTCCAAGGATGTCACACAGAAGAGGGACCGTCCTCGCTCTGTGTGGCTCTGCAAGGATGGGTGAGCATCATGGCTTGACTAGAACCAAGAAGCTCACAAGGTGGGTGACCCTTCACCTCCTGGGTCTGTGAAATGGGCTCCCAGGTCTATGAGCCTATGACCGTCTGGTCATCCCAGGGGAGTGGTCACAAGGAGGAAGGTTTAAGTTTGACCCAAAGAGCTTTCTCATTAACAGAGCGGCTAGAAGCGGCTCCTCTCACACTGGGAGGGGTCCAGGTGATCTCTGAGGTGCTTCCACCTCTGTGCTGTCAGGGATGATGCCCTCCCCTTAGAAACGGTCTGCTCTGGGCCCACCTGACACCCAAGAGCACCCCCAGGACCCATGAGCGCTGAGAGATCGACCCGAGCCAAGTGCTCACCTTCCAGATGAGGACACCAAAAGCTCGGGGGCTCAAGTGACTCACCCAAGGTCACTCAGGCAGTAAGAACGAGCCAAGAGTCGTGGCCAGGCTTTCTGGGCCAGCCCTCTTCCTGATCACTACCCCAAGACCTCTGTGCGCACAATGATGCACTCACAGACCCACCACCATCTTCCCTTGGGCAAACACTCGGACTAGGAGCAGCCCAGGAGCCCTTGTCCATCAGTCACCTGGAACCACATCTAAAAAGTGAAACTCTTAAAGAAGGCAGTGGAGGATAGTCCACGGCCAAATGGAGGGGATGAAGCCAGCAGGGCTGAAGGTTACCAATGACTGCACAGACAGGATGGAAACAAGGGAGGAGACAGAAGGAGCTGTCCTGGGCAGCGAAGGCCATTTCCACACCTGGCTAAGCAGCTCAGGAGGCTCTTGGCCTCCTGAATCCCCCCAGCCTGTAGGGTCTCACAGCTGACCCTCCCATCCACTCTCCTTGACGCGCCACTGAATGACCCCATCTCTTTCCTATGGTCTCGTCTCCCTCAGATGAACGGCAAAGACCAGGCCCTGATGCCTAGTTCCAGCAGCTGTTAAACAGGCCAGCTTCACAAAAGTCATCCACGCTCCTGAAGCCTTAATTTCCTCATCTGTCAATGGCAATAAATAATACCTGTACCCTGCCTCTCCCAGTTGTGGGAAGCCCCTAAGCTGCACAGCAGCCTCTAAGCCTTGGGCAGCGGCCCGGCCTGCTGGACACAGCACTAAGGACATTGGAAGCACTGGCTGGTGACAGAGCAGGGGCAAACTGGCCGCGTCTCCTGGCTGTCCAGGGACACCAGACACACCCCAGCTCCACAGCCGCCCAGCTACCTGGGGCCCAGGCCTCGGCCTCTGCCTGCTCCCCCTACCCTTTCTACATCCCAAGAATGAGCCGCTGCTCCACCTGCGCTCTCTTCCCATTAGAAGGTAAGTCCTTGAGAGCAAGGCCTGTCTACATTTCCAGGGCTCAGCATGCTGCCTGGCACACAGGAAGCACCTGATGCGCTCTGGGGAGGCCCAACTCAGGCCAGCCCAGGGCATCCACACGAGGAGGTTTACCCAACACTGGCATGGGACGGACCCTTGGCGAGGACACGGCATGGAAGCACGGTGACGTGGGCTTCTTCCTCTGCATCTGCCTCAGGAAGGGTGCCCGGACAGACGCCCGCTCCCGGGGCTCTGGGCTCCAAACACCCACGTTGAATGGCTAAGCCCGAGTCCTCAAGACCAATTCAGACTTGAAGACAGAGTCGTTGCCTTTTAGGGGAAAGCTCTAGGGACCTCGGTACATGTTGCTCCCACCGTGGTGGACAGATGGTTTTACTACAAAGGGGCCCAGAAACTCCCAGAGTCCAACCGAAGCACAGGGGAAACAAAGTCACACATGCAGTGAAGAGAACCCAGGGCTGGGAGCCAGGGGACCTGGGTTCTGCTCCACCGCTGATGGGTTCCTCTCCCTCTCTGGGTCTCAGTTTCCCCATCTACAAAGGGGGGGATGAGATGACTGCTGTGACTCCTTGTGGTTCTGACCTCCCTGGCTTCCTCTCAGTCCCAACTAAAACCCCACCTCTTAATCCCTCTGTTCTTATCTCCTATTTACCCTATACAGAGCTGGCTTCATATATATTTGTTTGGAGGCTGTCTTCCCCCATCATTGTAAGCTCCTTGAGGGCAGGCACTGGCTTTTGCCTCTTTTTGTATTTCCAGGGTTCAGCACAGTGCCTGGCACATGGTAGGTGCTTACTAGCTGTTTAGTGATGGACTGATCGACAGGAATGTGTGAATCCATGAGCAGCAGCCCCTGTGACAGCTGGGACACTCCAGAATGAGGCAGCATGAGTTTGTTGGGGCAGCGACCCTACCGCCTCCCCGACCCCCAGAGGCTAATGAGCTGCGGCCCCTCAGGCAGGGCTTCTGAAGCCCTGATGTCACTGTCCCTGCAAGGATCCCAAAGGCCCCACTGTACCTCCGTGTGTGCTGGAAGGCAGCAGAGTCCTCGGGATTCCCAAGGATCCAGCGTCAGAGCAGACAGACCTGGGAAGAGAAGAAAGGGGAGGTTACTTCTGGTGGGCCCTGGAGGCCGCATTAGGCCTCTATACCCAGTAACTGCAGATGCCATTTCAAGAGCCGGCCGGAGGGCTGACCGAGTGCTTTGGGAACATCAGCCTCGTGAGTGTGGGTGAGGCGGCCACACTGCTGGGAAGGATGCAAGCCTGGGTCTGAGCTCTGGGGTCTGGACACCAGGTCCCTGGCTCTCTTCTCGACACCCTATTTAGCTGTGATGCAGGGATGGGCACCCATGTCCCAGTGTCCCAAGGCCTTCAAAGGCTTCCTTGCTGCCCCGAGATTCTGAGGAGCCTTCAATTTTTCCCCCAGGTCCCTAATTACAGCAGAGCAGGAAGGATAATTTCATCTTACACCACGCTTTCTATTAACAAACACTATCAATTCCTTCCATACAGCAGCCACAATCAGACTCTTGTAAAGATTTAATAGCTGCCTTCAAAATCTGCACGGAAATTGCTTTTCCGCCACTCAATTGCTTTCTTTTCCCCCAAAGATGCACATGGGTATTTAAAAACAGACCAGCAGGCTTAGCTTCTGTTTTGGGAACCAACCTCCGGCAGCTGTGCTGAAGCCCAGGCGGCAGGAGGGTGGCCCGAGAGCGGGGCCGGCCCCTGCCCTGAGACCTGGGAGCTGGATCACAGGAGAAGGAGTGCCCTGCCCTGGATGGGCCCCCACCAAAGCTCTGGACTTCGAAGTGGGTTCAAATGCTGACTCCTCCAACTTCTTAGCTGAGTGACCCAAGCCAAGTAACTCAATGTCTGTGAGCCTCAGTTTCCTCACCTGTAAAACGAGGGCAAGCTATTTCACCCCTCCCAGAGCTATGGTATAAACCTTCAAGTGCTCCAGATACGGCAGATGTAAAGATGATAATGACAGTGACCAGAGACACCACTCTGCTCTGTCAACAGGAATGACAAAACCACCCCAGCCCGGACCCAGGAGGAGCCAAGGGGATGTCTGCTAAGACACTGCTCCCACAGGTTTAAGTAAAATAATGCCTCGCTCCCACCTCCTGTGATCCCCACAGCGATACAAGATGGGGAGAAGATGATGCCAGATTATGCCAGGGTACCTCTCAAGCTCCTTTCCCTCCCTCAACAAGACTCTGGCTATTTTCCTACTGTTCTCAACGTGCCTCCAACAGGCTCCTGCCCTCCCCTCGTCCCCTTCTCTGCCTCAAACTGCCTCATCCTCCAGCAGTTCCCAGCTTTTGCTAATTCACATCCAGCTCCTGTGGGGTCCCCCCAGTGTCTGGAGAGCCAAAGGTGCACGCCAGCAATACCCAATGTCCAATGTGGTCATGCAGCGTCTGTACCAAAGAGCAGTCACCTGGGGCCTTGTCTGTCCTTTTCTTTAGTGATGACCCTGTGTTTGACAACCTCCCTCCACAAACCCCTCCTCAGGGCCCCCATCCCCTGGCAAAGGGCCCCAGGACTCCCCAAGGCCAGGCTATGGAGCCTGAGGTCTGGAGGTGCCTCCCACACACAGCCAAGGCTCGTATCACAATGGCAGAGTTAAACAAAAAAAGGAAAAGGACACCGCAGGCCAGTCAGCACTCTAATACATTGTTGGTGGACCTGCAAACTGGTTCAGCCAGTTCTGGAAAGCATTTGGAACAACAGCCCCAGAGTTATTACACTGGGCATATTCTCTGAACCAGGGCTGTGGCTTCTAGGTCTGCAGCCGAAATGGACCCACAGGTTTAAGAAAAAAATACTTAGGTACAACAGCTTTTTTTGGGCAAGCTGAGCACTGGGGTGAGTGGGGTGTCCATCATTTGGAGAATGACTGAACAAATTAGGGTCTATGTAATAGTATTCTATTGTGTTAGAAGAAATGATGATGGGAATGGTCTCAGAGGAACCATGGGTGACTTGGAAGAATGGATTTGGAGGGAAGGGGACAGAACCAGGAGGACCTTCTAGAGTGAAGACATCATGGGAAAACCGAACAGCAAGGACTGCAAAACCCGACTCAATGTCCAGCCGTGATTCCCAAGAACCTGCCTCCTCATAGAGGGAGAGCAGGACAACACCAAAAGGGGAATTTTTTTTTTTTTTGCTTGATTAGGCAGATTTGTTAAAAGTGTGTTTGTTTTTCTTTTCAATGAGGGGGAAGTAGGAAAGAAAATAGATTTTAGCTCATTGGAAACTAGGTACAAATTTAAAAGCTTCATAGTTACTGGCTGTCTTGCCCAAGAACCCCCCCCCCCCAAAAAAAGAGGTCATCTACTATAGGGGAAAAGCTGGATTAGAGTGGGAAGAATCTTGAGGCAGGATGACCAATTAGGAAGTAAAGGCAAAAGTCTAGTCATGAGGTGATAGGGTTTGAAATAGGATTAGGGCTTTAAGAGTGGAGAGGAGACAGAAGAGAAGAAGGGAATATGCATTTATTAAAAGAATTCTATGTGCCAGACACTGTGCTAAACATTTTACAAATATTATCTCAGCTGATCCTCATAACCCTGGGAGATAGATGATATTATTTATCATCATTTTACAACCAAGGAAACTGAGGCAGAAAGGTTAAGTGACTTGCCCAGGGTCACACAGTTAGGCTGGATTTGAATTCAGGTCTTCCTGACTCGAGACCCATCACTCTATCTACTGTGCCACCAGCTGCCAAAAAGGAGAGATGTGAGGTAAGAAATGACAAGATTGGGTAAAAGACTGGATGTGTGGGCTGAGAGTATGGAGTCATGACACCTTGGCTGCCAACCTGAGTGACCTGGGAGAATAGTGATGACCCAGACAGTAACAGGGAGGTTCTGGATGAGGAGAGAGAAGGGGGAAGGGGAGGGGCTACCAAGATGCATTCTATTTCTGGTATGCTGAGTTTAAGATGTCTGGATGACATCCATTTCAAAATGCCTGATACATAGCTGGTGATACACAACCAAAGCTCAGGAGAGAGGGGGAATGGAGACAGAGACGTGGGAGCCCTCTGTGTAAGTGACAGCTGGACCCACAGGAGCCGAGGAGAACACCAAGAGAGGGAGATGGGAACCCAAGTCTTCGTGATTCCAAGAGCAGCGAGCAGCTCTCTCCTCTCCTCCACGCAGAGCCTCAACAAGCATCAGCTGAGTCACACGACCTCAGAATATTCAAGGGCAAAACGAGGAGGAGGCCCTCAAAGAGATGTCCAGCAGAACTGACGCATCGCTATTCTGGAGCAACCTGTTTCCATCACCAGCGACGGAAAAGCCATTCCATTAGGATCCTGACCCTTCAGCCCTTCAGGTGCTAAACAAAGAGGCAGACATGGTGCTTAGAAGATCAAGCTGGGTAGGTCCACCCTGACCCAAGGAAGTCCTTGCCTTACACCAAGATCTTGACAGCACCATCTGACAAGAAATCTCAGGGAAGGGAAGGCGTGAAAAGAACTGAAAAAAAATTCCAGACCAAATTAATGCCCCCAAAGGGTAACTGAAAAAAACATCAAAAAGCATATGAATGGAGTAGTAGAATGTTTGGGGAAAAAAACTCCAAAATGAAGCTATTTGGATAAGGTCTCCCTTGCTATTCAACAAAGATTGCTGGGAAAACGAGATAGCAGTGTGGCAGAAATTAGGTACAGAGCAACATCTCACACCATATACCAAAACAAGCCTCAAATGGATACATGACTTAGACCTGGAGAATGACATCACAAATTGGATGAGCAAGTAAGACACTATCTTTCAGTTCTATGGTTAGAGGGATGGTTTGGGACCGAACAAGGGAAAAGAGCTTCACAGAGGGAGAATACGGACAATTTTGATTACATAAAATCAGAAAGGTTTTGCACAAACAAATCCAATGTGGCTAAAATTAGAATGGAAACAGATAACTGGGGGATTTTTTTTTCTTTTTGCAACAAGTTTCTTCGATAAAGATCTCATAAAAGTATATATGGAACTGAATATAATTCATAAGAACAAGAGTCACTCTCCAATAGATGTAAAGGGTCAAAGGACATGTTTTCAGAGAAAGAAATCCAAGTTATAAAAAGCCATATGAAAAAATGCTCCAAATCAATAATAATTAGAAAAATGCAAATTACAGCAACTCTGAATTTCCCTCACATTTGTTAGATTGGCAAAACAAAACAAAATAAAAACAAAAACAAAAAAACACAACCAAAACGGGAAAGCAAGAACATTATTGGTGGTACTGTGAATTGCCTAAATGAGATATTGCCCGGCACATAGTAGGCAATTTATAAATGCTTATTCTCTTTCCCACCTCTATGAATTCTGGAAAGCAATATGGAGATATGTCCTCAAAGTCATTTTACGAACTTTGAATGCCCTTTGACCTAGTGCTGTAACTGCTAAGCCTGTTCTCCAAACAGACCAAAGAGGAAAAGACCCACATGTTAAAAATATTTATAGGCACAGCTCAGTGGCACAGCAGATGGAGTTCCAGCCTTGGAGTCAGGAGGACCTGAGTTCAAATGTGACCTCAGACACTTGACACTTACTAGCCATGTGACCCTATATATATATATATGTACAGCAGCTCTTTCTGGGCTGACAAAGAACTGAAAACTAAGGGGGTAGTGATCAATTAGGGAATGAGTAAACAAATTATGGTAGAATAATGTAACAGAATATTACTGTGATAAGAAATTATGAGAGCTACATTTTCAGAGGAAACCGGGGAGACTTATGAGAAATGATATAAGAAGCAAACAGAACCTGGAGAACAATTTATACAAGAACATGGGAGAAAGAGACAGAGAGAGAAGCAAGAGAGGGAGGGAGTGGGCTGGTGCTGCAGCCTGACACACAGAAAGCACTTACTAAGTGCTTGTGGACGGACCTAACCAAAGACAACTCTGAAAGACTTAAGAACTCTGATCTTCAAACCAATGACGAGCCACGGTTCCAGAGGGAGAAGGAGGGAGCGAAACGCTCCCGTTTCCTGACAGAGAAGGGATGGAATCAAGACAGAGAATAAGACCTGATTTCTAGACACAGCCCATAC